AGTCCTTACACACCACAGTAAGAGGAGTGTTAGGAGAGACGCCAACTGGAAGATAAATATAGTAATTTTCATCAAGAAAGAACACACCAAAAAGGTTATTAATCGTGCCGTTTTAAATTGCAATTGGACAATGGACGATTTTTAATATTTGTCGGCGATGAGAAACGAGGCATGGTTAAGAAAGTAAAAATGAAAAACAGACCTCGAAATGAAAAGACGACCTTAAAACTAACAAACAATTTCGGATATACATTTAGAATTTTATTTGAGGACATAATTTAGTATTTCAACTGACACAATGTACAATTAGTCTTTCAATTTGTCAAGAACATTACGCATATTTTTTTGTAAAATTACATGCAGACTTTTTAAAAATTTTAAGTGCGTTTTTACGAGTTTTTGTACATTTGAAGTTGATTTTACATTTTTAAATTAAAAGGTGTTAATAACAATCAGATTTTAAACGTTTTTATAAGAGGACTACTATCTATTTTAACAAGAATTTTAGAGAAGAAAAAACTTGAGCAGTTGTTAAGAAAATTTTGAGAATTTGTCTATTGATGTAATTTGCCATTACAATCATTTAACGGCCACCTTTTATTGACGCAATGGCATTCATTTCCCCGCAGGATATAAAAAGATATGCGTCATACAGAATGCTCCGTGAAGAATTGGCTAATCTTTAAATAAACCTTAGATACAATTATATTCAGCTTGCTCGTGTCAGAGAATTGTAAAGGTTAAATACGCTTTAGACCCACTTCCAAGACGAAGTGTGTCCATTGCCCGTAAATTACGAACACTGAATGGCACTATCAGCAGTTGTCACGGAACACAAAACGAACCGTCAATCATGAGTACTGCGCGTTACGAGGAGCCGTGCGGCGCGTGGCGGGCACTCGTTTTGTAGCGAGGCAGCCGAGCGTTGCAGCCTCTCACCCCGGGCGACCGTGGCCGGGCGCGGCCCCTACGCGTGACGCGGCGCGCGTGCTCGCCGTAACCCTGATGACCGACGCGACGCGGCGCGTCGAACCAGGAGGTCGCGCCTCCTTGCCCGGAGATGCGGAGAGATAACGCACCGGCGCGGTGCGGCGTGGCGAGTAGGGATGCGAAAGCGATGTCGATGGTTTCAAAACTTCCATGTTTCGGTAAAACATCCTTGTATTTTTTCAATTTCATTTTTCCATTTCTATTAATACAATTTTTAGTATAAACAAATAATTCTATAGCAGACAGTGCCTATGCGTAGACCTGAAAGATCATCCATAATACGAATAACCAATTTTATCATTTCATAATCGGCTTTTCGCACACATTATAAAAATAAAAATTAATAAAAAGAAAAGACAAAATAACAGATAAGTAAAATGAAAATTAAAACAAAGAAATAAATATCTATGATAAGAAAATATAGTGTTCCGTTACAGAAAAAAATCCTAATATTATTATCCAAATTTATCAATAACATTTTCAGTAATCTGTTGTTTTTTAAACGTTTTTCATGTAATGTTTGAAATATGGGATAATACATTAATCGCTTTAATTCCTAATACATGATGTCTCCTCCGACTTAATTCCGTGTTGAGTAAATTGAGCCCGATGCTTTTTGAACATCCATGTTTTGGGTTTGAAGTTTTTGTTTTCGTAGTTTTGTTAGTGGATGAGAAACGCCCATAATCACAATTTTGTAAATGTCAAAATATGTAATAACTGTACTTGTGTTCGAACCAAACGAACGCATTTTGTATTACCTTCATCGAGCAGACTTCTTTCCCGACGCGGGATGAGACAGATACTCTGATATTTCCATCGTCTTTCCTCGTATTTTGCAAATGGAGAGGCGTTTTTAACTTTGTTTTCTGTTAAATTTTAATGATAAGTTAATATACAAGGCAACTGCCAAATTAATTTTTTTGAACATGAATTTAATGATAGATGTTACTAAAACAACTTTAAAACATCTATATTCAAAAACATCAATGAATTTTGGTCGATGTACTATTAACATTGGTCCTTTAATTTCAAATATTGATGTATGGCAGATTACTGAGAAAGTTTTTGATAAGTTTCGATAATAATATGGTGAATTCATTTGTTCTGTAACGTTATATTTTCTTATTATAAATAGTTTTGTTGTCGAGATGTCGCATCACTAGTGGTGAGGTAGCGCAAGGAGGAGGGGGAGGAGGAGGAAGGTCCGGTCAGGTCAGGCCGGGGCGGGTCGGGGCGGGTGAGGAGTTGAGAGGCGGGTAGGGAGAGGGGAGAGCGGTGTCAGGTAGACTATGGTCGATTGCGTTCGCGAGCGATGGACGTGGCCAAGACCACGCGACGTTGCGCGTTTCGGAGGCCGACGCGGGTCCCGGAGGACGGACGAGGCCACGTATTTCTGCTTTAAATTCGAAACGATAGAATATATTTCATACACTTCCAAACTTGTAAAAGGCAATTTATAGCTAGCATCGTTATCGTTAGTTTATTGCATTTTATTTATAATTCAAATTAACTAAAACCTATTCTGAGAAAGGAAATGGGCTGACAGAGCACTTCAATTACGATTTCGATTGCTAGGTACGTGCATTTGACATTTAGAAACGGTTGTTGCAAATGCAAAAATAACATAAACACCAACATTTTTAAGACCTTCCGGTAAAACGAAATCCTTTGAAAATTCCCTCAATTATTTTCAGATTCCATACTCATTCAGCCAGAGAACGACGCAAATGATGGATAAGTTGTTCCTTACCCCATAATGAGGTATGTAGAAATGTTGGGAGAACCTAAAACGGTATTTCAGACGTTTTCAGTGGTTCATCCCATATTGTGCAGTGAGCAAATGTTCATGGTTCTTGAGCTTGGAGGTAGATTCTACATCCATTTCCAACCTTAAAGGAGTCCAAATTGACTCTTTAATGTCGGGTTATTTGGGCCAAGGCTTTGGCAATCGCGACCAATGTGCGACAGGGGCGGGAGTGTAGGCGGGGGCGGGGGC